CTCACAAGGCTTCTCATGCTTCCCTGAATGGTAACATCTTATATACATCTGCCTCGTTGGATGGGTATTTCCTTTTTTCCATTTCTTTGACACTATAAAAGTGCTCCTGTGAGTAGTTTGGTTTATGTGGCATCTTTTTGCTTTTGTCTTCCTTAAGTAGGTGTGCCTAGTCAAAAAATCTCTGGATCAAAAAGTTTTGCAAATTTTTTTTACCTAAATTCTAAATTGCTTTCCAGATTGGTTGGACCAGTTCAGTTCCAACAACAGTGTATTCATTTGCCTTTCTTCCCTCCCATCTTTTTTTTTTTTTGCCTGAGTGTAAGTAGAAAACTCAGTGGTTTTCATTTCCATTTTCTTATTAGTGATGTGGTTGTTGTAATTTTGCAATTTCTAAAAGAACTTAAAAGAATTTTCATATTTTTCAGTAACATATCCATTGGGAAATGGCTCTTGATCTTACATATTTGTACTGATTTCTTATATATCTTAGATATCAGAGCCTTAGCAGAGAGATATGAGGTAAATACTCCCCCTGCCTCTTTTCCCCTCTTATCTTTATTGTACTGATTTTTTGTGAAAAAGTTTTGTTTCCTGTAATTGAAATTATCTGTTTATATTTAATAATCTCTGTCCTTTGGTTATTAAATTAATTTGGAAGATAATTTCAGTTTGGGACTGCATATCATTTTATTTTGTTTTTGATAATACTTATGAATGAGAGGTCATTTACACAGGAACTTGCAGTGGTTGTTAATTATCTTTTGACTTAATACTGGTTCTTTATTATTAGTGTTGGATTTTTGGAGACTATGCAAAATTGAGACTTTGTTCTATTCTTAGAAAAGCCACAAATTAGTGGTATCTTTCCAGAAGCTTTTTAAGGTGGTCAAGGATAAGCTGTGAGTCAAAAAATTTTATTAATTTTGTACTGTATTTGGTAACTGTATTTCTTAGTAGAGTGGTCTCATTTTAAGAAAGCTGTCTATTTGAAAATCTTACTTGAGGATAGTGATTATTTATTGAAGCTTTGCTTATTTAACTAGTTCCACAACCTGTGATTTCATTTGTGTGGGGATTCCCCTCCACTGATACAGATGCAGGTTGCTTCACAACTTGGTTAAAAGATCCTCAGAAGTAATAGTGGCTGAAAAATTCATTACCTTTCAGCCAGTCTGGTAATGGGTCTCTTTTTCTGTTATGGTTCTGAGATGGGAGATACGAAGTCTGTCACTGTATTCAAGACCTTTCTAGACTTGTCAGAGCTTGAGGTTTGTTTTGTTTTTTTTTTTGGCCATAGTGCATCTGGGAGCATCACCTTACTGCAGTGAGGCATCCAAATATGATTTGGTGGAGGAACATTTATAATACCTTTTTTTCCCCCCTTAAATGCTAGAAATTTTTTTTTAAAGTCAGTTGGGGTTAAGTGACTTGCCCAGGGTCACACAGCTAGTACGAGTCAAATGTTTGGTCTGAGACTGGATTTGAACTCAGATACTACTGACTTCAGGGCCGGTGCTTTATCCACTGCGCCACCTAGCTGTCCCCTAGAAAAATTTTAGTAGTGGTGAAATGTTAAGAAGGTATATAGATATTTTTCCAAACAGATGATAGTTATAGTTTAAATAAATGAGGCTGCTTATCCAAAATCTCTTTTATTCTCTATTTTACTTTTTGTGGCTCTTTTCTCAGTCTTTCTGATACCCGTGGCACTACTAATTTTAATCTGCTGCTAAAACTCCTTACATCTCATGAAATGAGGTTATCAAGAATAAAAACTCTGAGAGAATTGGGAAGGGACTAGGAAATGTAGGGGATATGAAAATAAAATATATCACAGTTGTATATCTATTTTCTTCATCTCTGCAGTTTATTCATTCCATTTGTCACCTTGTTACATTGTCTATTATTTTTCTTTGTTTCTTCAGATCCTTTTTATTTTTAGATAGTTTTTTTTCTGCCCTGTTTAGACACCCTTTTTTTTCTTAGTAAGTCTGCCTTTACATCTGCAGCACATGTAATTGTTGACTGTCTTGAGCAGACATATCTCTATATAACATACTTTTCAGGGAATTACAGTCTTTTTGAGTTGAATTACAGTTTTTTTGTGACTCTTTAAGTAATGGTTATTTAATGTTAGAGGCTGCTTAATTCTGCTCTTACCTGCTATATTGCCGAGGAGGAGTTTGTAATTAACAAGATGTCAACTGCTTCCACTGTGTGGCTGTTTTTTTGCTTTGAGAGAGACGTTCTTCTGTAGGGCACCCAGTTCTCACAGTAATAAGCAGTTCCCTTAAAATTATTTTTAGAATTAGTGTTTGTGGCATATGAATATACGTTTAACTTTGTATTTTTAAGTTTGAATTTGTGAAAGATTAACATGCGTGATAATCAGTAGCAGTAAATACATGTTCTGACTTGATAATACTCTGATAAATAAACAAGCATATTTCAAGTTAAATATTTTCATTTGTTCAGGAAAATATTAAATTGACAATGTTTTTCTAATTTGCTGTAGTTTAAGCTATTAACTTTTTTTTTTAGTATTTTTGGAATTACAATTACATATTCTTTCATTCATATGTTATTTTTTTCTGTTAACTTGCTGAGGAGTTTAATTTGATTACTTAATAATAGAAAAAATTGAAATCTTATGGATACCTAGGGGAGTGAGTGATTTACTTCAGTGATTCTCTAACTAGTGTCCTCTAAGCTATTGTATACTTGGTTCTTCCAAGTCAAGTAATTCATAATCTTTACCACCAAAAGTTTAAAAGAAAAAAAAAAGCAAAACAAGTCATTCTTTAGCATGTGTGGAGAAGGGCTTGGCTTAATTTTGACTAATACCTAATTTGTATGCAAAATCTTCCCCCTGATTATCCTGAAGAGTTTTATTTATTTCCATACTAGTGACAGGTGCTGTGTAAGCATACATTTTTCTTAGCTGAGATTGTTCTAAATGGATTCTGACAAACTAATAAAATCTTTTGAAAGTTTTCTTTCCAAGCTTTGTGTGCTAATGTTTTCACTCTGGCCACCTGGCGTAAGCTACACACATTTTTGATATTCATGAAAGAGGTTTGGGCACTTACCATTCATTTGAGCCAAATGGCATATTTCAGCCTCTTTTCCTGGAAAGGGAGAGATTGTTGAGTAGCTGTAGCAAAACCTTATGTGACTGCTTATGAAGAGCTTGCCCCCTTTTTTGTAAATTAGCTTTGAGAAGAGCTTCACGTAAAATTTTGTGATCCTCATAGACTCTAAGATTCTTAGGAATTTTAACACGAAACTATTAACTCTTCTCTACTCATATCTAGTAATTTCAAATTGTATATCAAGTGACTTTCTAATAATAAAAGGATATCTATAATGAGGTTCTGTCAAATTTTGTGTTGTGCTCAAAATAATGAGTACAGGTCAAAAGAGAAGCTGATAGTAAAAAAGGATAATTTAAGTATGAATTTTAATGTGCCACAACAGTTGCAGGTCAGGGCTGAGTTGACTGTTGGCGGGAATGAGAAGTAGTCTGGAACTAGAATATCTGCTTTTTAAAAGTTCTCTGATCTAAAGAACAGCTCTTAGACTTCTCCCTATAATGTTAGGGCTATCCATTATATTAGACTCTGTCTTTTGTAGTACAAGATCAGGTGGGGGGCAGAGCGTGGGGCAAAGGCAGATATCATAAAGTTAAAGAGGGATTTAAAAAAAATAGACAAGAGGCTTAAGGTCAGTAAGTTTTTGGCTTCTCATCCTACATGATGATAGCAAGAAACCACAAACTCCTGTACTTTAGTGACTATCCTTTAAAATGTTGTATCTCTACAAATCTAATAAAAGCCTTTTGGATACATCACAGTCATAGATTTAGAACTAGAAGGAACTTTTAGAGGTTGTCTTCTTCAGTCATTTTATTTTACAAATGAGGACACCAAGGCCCCAGAGAAGGCAAGTGATGGTGCCTGAGATCATTCAGGTGGGAAGTGTTAGTGGTACTGCTGGCTTCCAGCCCAACTTGTCTTATTTTGGTATTGTGCTGGCAAATATGAACAACATGAAGATTTCTATATACAAAGGAAAACAGAAAAATAATTGTATATTCAGCTGTGGATCTATATTAGAAAGTTTATGTTTTTAAAAGTATATAGTAAATCTAGCATATTCATTCTAAACTTGTCCTTTGTGTCTTCGTTTAACTCTGACCTTGTTTTCTTTTGTGCATTTTTTTTTACTTCAGATTTTCTTTTTTTCTCCAGATTTTATATTTTTATTCTGAATTTAAGGAACATCAGTAAAAAGGACATTTCCATATATGCTGTAGAATTGAAAAAAGGATTATACACAAAATCATGAGTGGCTTTCTTTAAAAAAAAACTTGCTTTAAAAGAAAAGTATATAATAAATTCAACATGTTTTCAAAGATGTCTAGCTCATCTGTGTTTCTTTCTGAATTTTTATTCTCCTGTCTATTTAAAAAAAACATTCAATGGCCATCTCTCTCCTCTCCTTCCGCTTATTGGGCAATTTATTAGTAGTTCTCCCTATCCCCAATACAATGAGAAAACATAGTCCTTGTAAGAGGTTTACTTAAGCAGACAAGTTCACACATTTACCGTGTCCAGAAACTGTCTCATTCTGCACCTTGAGTCCTTAACTCTTCTGTAAGACATTGGGCAGCATGCTTCATCAAGGTCATGACTGGATGTTGCATTGATTAGAGGTCTAAAGTCTTTCAGAGTCTTTTGTCCTTTACGGTGTTGTTGTTATTGTATAAATAGTTTTCCTGGGTCTGCTCAGTTTTCTCTGCATCAAGCCAAAGTCCTTCACTCCACATCTAGAATTCTTTCCACCACACCATGCTTTCCCTCTTATCTCCAAGCTATTTTGCACATTTGGGCATACGACTTTTTAAAAATTCTGTTTTGGGAGTTTTATATATATGCCTGTGTAGTTGATTTTAAAATTGATTGACTACTGTAGGCTTAATTAAATGTTATCTTTTCCAGGTGTTGACTTTAAGGTGAAGACTATATCAGTTGATGGAAATAAAGCTAAGCTTGCAATATGGGTAAGTTTTGTATATGCTTAATAAAATCCTGTCTATAAAGCGTAAATGTATGGGAATCTAATAAAGATGTATGCAGTGTTCTAAAAGATAGATTTTGATTACGTTTTAGATATTGTACTTTGTTACCAGTTTAAAAAATGTAAGAAATACTTGATCTCAAAGTTATTAGGACCTTTGGGGAAGGATAGACTTAGAAATGTAAAAGAAATCAAATATTTTCAACTTGAGTTTCTCAAGTATTGAAAAGCATTCAGTATGAATTAATACGGAAGGCACTTGATAGGAAGAAATGTAGTGGCACACTGGATATCAAATTGGAATTTATTTTAATGTTCTATTTGTAAAGTCTGGTGATTTGCCAAATGCCTTTCTTTTTTTTTTCAAAATGTTTTATTAATTTATTTTGAATTATCAACAATCACTTACATAAGCTTTTGAGTTTTAAATTTTTCTTCCCCTCTCCACCTCCTTCCCCAAGACTGCTCTCCATTTAATATAGAATATACATGTACATTCCTATTAAACATATTTTCACATTAGTGATGTTGTAAGAATTAGAACTAACAGGAGGAACCACCAGAAAGATGAAACAAAACACAACAGAAGAAAAAAAATAGCAAATAGTGTGCTTCGATCTGCATTCAAACTCCATAGTTCTTTCTTTGGATGTGGATAGCATTTTCCATCATGAGGCTTTTGGAGATGTCTTAGATCCTTGAATTGTTGAGAGGGGTTAAGTCAGTCAAAGTCAATATCACTCAATGTGGCTGTTAACTGTGTACAACATTCTCCTGGTTCTGCTCAGCATCAGCCATACAAGTCTTTCCAAGTTTATCTGAAGTCTGCCTGTTCATCATTTCTTATAGCACAATAGTATCCCATTATATTCATATATCACATACATTCACAATTATGATTACTATCTGTGTCTTTCTCTCCATCCTTCCCCCTGCCCCCCATGCTTTTCTTTCACCTTTCTCCTTTTCCCTCCTCACTGTTTTACTTTTGACCACCACCTCCCTCAGTCCTACCTCCCTTCTATTAGCCCCTTCCCCTTTCTTTCTCCTTTTTCCTCCTACTGCCTATAGGGCATTTTAGATTTCTATGTCTAACTGATTATGTTATTCCCTTCTTGAGCCAAATTGATGAGAGTAAGATTCAAACAATGCTCATCTCTCTCCTTTTTTCCCCTCTGCCGTAATAGGTTTTTGTGCCTTTTCCTGTGTTGTAATTTACCCTTGTGTGCCTCCTCCTTTCCTTTTTTCTCAGTACATTTTCTCAGTTAGATCAGATTAATCCACTTACTTGGATCCATTTAACCCACTTGATTAGATTTTTTTCATCATTACATCAATGTCAATTTATACCCACCCCCTTTATGTATATCCCTTTAACATGGTGTAATAACAGTACAGTTCTCAAGACTTATAAGTGTCATCTTCCCTTGTAGGGATGTAAACAGTTTGCCCTTGTTAATAACATGTTTCTTTCTGTCCCATTTACCTTTTTTTATGTCTCTTTTGAGCCTTGTATTTGAAGACCAGATTTTCTGTTGAGCTCTGGTATTTTTATCAGGAAGGTATAGAAGTCTCCTATTTCATTGAATATCCATCTCCTCCCCTGAAAGGTCATGTTGATTTTCGCTGGGTAGTTGATCCTTGGTTCTAATCCAAGCTCCTTTGCCTTATGTTATATCGTATTCCACGTCTGACGGTCTTTTAATGTAAGGTCCTGTGTAATCCTGACTGTGGTTCCATGATATTTAAATTGTTTCTTTCTGGCTGCTTGCAGTATTTTCTCTTTGACCTGGTAATTTTGGAATTTGGCTACTATATTCCTTGGCATTTTCAATTTGGGATCTCTTTCAGGAGGTGATAAGTGGATTCTTTCTATGGCTGTTTTACCCTCTGGTTCTAGGACCTCAGGGCAGTTTTCCTTAATGATTTCCTGAAAGATACTGTCCAGGCTCTTTTTTCATTGTGATTTTCAGGTAGACCAATAATTTTTAAATCGTCTCGGATCGATTTTCCAGGTCAGTTGATTTACCAGTGAGATATTTTACATTTTCATCTATTTTTTCATTCTTTTGTTTTTGTTTGACTGATTCTTGCTCTCTCATAGAGTCATTAGCTTCTATTTCCTCAATTCTAATTTTTAACAAATTGTTTTCTTCTATTAGATTTTATACCTCCTTCCTCATTTGGCCAATTGTATTTTTTAGGGACTTGTTTTCTTCAGTGTACTTTTTTTCCAGTTAGCCAATTATAATTTTTAAGGACTTGTTTTCTATAGTTAATTTTTGTCCTTCCTTTTCCAAGCTATTGACTCTCTCTTGCATACCTCTCATTTCTTTTCCCATTTTTTCTTCTACCTCTCTTATTTGAATTTTAAAATCCTTCTTGAGCTCTTCTAAGAAGGCTTTTTGGGCTTTAGACCAGTTCACATTCCCTTTTGAGGTTCCAGAGGGTAGGTTTGTTGACAATGTTGTCCTCAGAATTTCTGCCTTGATCTTCAATCTTCCCATAATAAGAATCTATTGTATGTTTCTTTTTGCTCATGGTGTTTGCTTATTTCCTGGCCTTTAAAGAGATTGGGCTCTCCTGCTGGGGAGCAGAGGGCACTGACCCAAGCTTCTTGTGATGGGAGCCTAGGGCCTGGTTGATGGCTTTGTGTGCTGGGGCCTCCAGTACTGGCAGCTGGAGGCTGTAGGATTCTGGCAGCTTACCTGATGTTGGTCTGGAATCAGCAACACTGGAACTCTAGGGGTGTCATTGGGTAGTGTGGTTCCTGGAGATTTGTTGCTCACCCAGGCCTTTCCTTCCTTTTGCTTTCTTCAGCTCCTTTTAGATGGATGTTGTAGGGTGTTTATCTGCCTGGGGCCCCTTGGAGTGCTGATTCACTTAGTTTTGCTGGGGCACTGGGAGAGCTGGTGGCTGTAGAATGCTGAGGAACCTGGTGGTTTTCTGTGCTGGTTTCCAGCAGTTCTCCTGCCATCAATGAGGCACTTGGGGGTCCGGGTATTGATGTTTGCCTGCTCTACCGCCTGGGCTTCAGGATCTCCTCCTGGTATGCTGAGGTGGTGCTTTCTACTAGCTTCCTTGGGATGCCTCCCATTCTGTTACAGGGTAAGGGGGGCCTTTCCAGTTAATCCCTCAAGCTACCTGGACTACTGGACTGCTACACCCTATCTTTCTTCTGGTTCAGCTGTTCCAGGGTTTTTCCTGGGGTGATATTTTCTGGGCTTTCAGTGGTTAATAAGGGAGGGTAAGAGAGACTCCGCCAAATGCCTTTCTTGATTTAGTTTCTTTCTCTTTTATTGTAGAGTATAGATTGTCATTTACTATGATCCTAATTAGAATCCCTCATGTTACTGTCATAGCAAGAGGACCTAGTAATATGATTGCCTGGTAAAAAGCAAGCTGCTCTAGGGTGCTGGAACAAGTCTTGTGTAGCTGCTCTTAAATGGTACCAGAAAAGAAATGCATGAATCATTTTTGATCTAGAAGATAGATTGAAGGCCTCCTTATTTCCATGGGTTCTTTGGGGATTCCATTGTACTTCTAGGTAGTCCCAGGGAGTCAAGAATCTCAGTTTTTCATGGAATCATTATATTATTAGTGTTAGGGAACCAACCTCGCTTCATGAGTGTCCTCCAGTAGAAGATAATCAGAACTTGTAAGATTCTCTCTGGCAATACAGAATAGCCATATTGTGATAATTCTTGGCCTTTATAAATAAGTTCTTCCTGAGATGGCTCCTTCTCCAGAGCCTTTATTTTAATTGTTAATCTATCACCCCCAATCTATCTGCTGGTTTTTGGAAGGCCTGAACTTCCCAGGATGAGAGTGATACCTGGATGATTGTCTTTCTTCCCCTTACCCACTCCTAATCCCCCTTCATTTATTTATCCCTGTCCTTGGGATTAGTTATCTTTGCCAGACAACTTTAATATTTTTTCCCTTCTGAACTCCCATATTTCAGGAATTTCTTTTTTAAGAAATCTAAAAAAAACTAAAGATGAAAACGCATCTCCACTCAACTTTTTCAGTGTGTTGGTTTGTTTTACTGAACCAGTGTTCTTTATTTTTAAACTTTTTTTTTTAAATTATAAGACATGCACCCTCTGGGAAGGAAGAGGAGAGGGATTTAGTGGGAAATGTAGATTATATAAAAACCAAAGATATTAATAAAATTTTATTTTAAAAAATTCATTTAACAAGCAGCAACCAGTAGGTCTTTGATTCCCTTATCTCTTTGGGATATTACGTTCTAAACTTTTGTGTATTATATGACTGGATTTGGAGTTAAACAGCACAGTTCATTTATGCTGTGTATGCATTTTGTGCCTTTGGTCAAGTCACTGAGTTTCTTTGGATTTCAGTTTTTTTGTCTATAAAATAGGTTGGACAATGATTTTTAAGGTCCTTTGTACTCATAATATCTTATCCTCAGATCTTTTTATTTAAAATTTGTTGAATTTAAATACAAGAAGAAAGTTCTAAGTAAAAGAATTGTCAGATAACACTGGGATAACTCTGCTTAATTACATAGCGAGTCTCAGAAAATTTGGGAGCTCCTCTGTTATCTCAATATCTCGCAGGGCCATACAAAAGCAAGCAATTACAATATTTTCTCTTATTTAGCAAACAGGATGGGTTAGGTTTGGCTTTAATTAAGCAAAATCACCCAATGGCATTTAAGGAAAAAATTTGAAGGGGACAACAGATAAAAAGGTGAGAAAACTCTGCAAACATTTTTTATGACTGATCACCATCAAGAACATTGGAACGACCATATTTGGACTCTTAACATCACAGTCCTCACTGTGCTTATGTGGAGGTGGAGAAAATGGCTGAGCTAGATCAAATATGCATTTCGAGTAGGGTTGACACAGTTTTGAGGCCATTAAGAGATCAGTTCTTAAGGTATCACAGGGAGAGGGAGAAACCAAAGGTATGAAAAAAATCTTGGACCATTTTTTATTTAAAAACTGTCTGTCT